CCCCAAAACCCCAAAACCCCAAAACCCCTGTTCTTTGATAAAAAAGTTTTAATTCTAAAGATATAAATTAAAATAAATATCTTAATCTATCTATATAATTTTAAAGGCTGCTATAATATCTACTATAAAATAATGTTAATGTCTACTAATTTTATAATGAAAGCGAAGGGAGATAGTCAAAATAACTCAATTCCAGCAATAGATGTGAAAATAACAGAATAAAGTTATCAAAGCAAAGAAAAAAGTCCTAAGGACTGTATGGGCTCTCCAGATATTTAAAGAGTTATGCCATTTAATGATAATTAAGGTCCTTAAGAGCAAATCATACCATAGTCGTAGTCATATAAGTTCTATATCAATAGTTCACCTAACAAGAAAGATAAAAGATTTGCAAGAAATTAAATAAAAACCTCCAAATACACATGGTACAATTTCATTCCAAAAAATTTATACCTTCAGTTCTCTAAAGTTAACAATGCTTACTTTCTAGTAATTTTAGTTCTGTAAGTGCTTAAATACGTCAGTCTTACTGGAGGAAAACCCTCAGTCCTACTAGGTCTTAGTACAGTTATTTTAATCAGTGCTGTAAAAGACATAATTGAAGATATCAAAAGAAGCTAATCTGATAGCTAGGAAAACAATTCTATAACTGAGGTTTATGATAAATATTCAAAAGCATTTACTAAGACATAATGGAGAAACGTTAAAATAGGATAGATCGTCAAAATACATAACCGTCAAAACTTCCCTGCTGATCTACTAATGGTTGGTAGCTCTAATTAGTAAGGAATCTGCTACGTTGAAACAAAAGGACTTGATGGAGAAACAGCTCTTAAAACCAAGAAATAGATGCAATAATCTAGCATTATTGGCAAAATCAGCGAAGATAACTTATACCAGCTTGAAGGTACAATTGAGTGTGAATTCCCGAATGATTACATCTATAGATATTAAGGCATAATAAATCTGCAATCTTAGGAGATTGGAAGGGTATAATAAGAGGTGATTTCAATTGGTATTGATAATCTCTTACTCAGAGGATCAAGTCTATAGAACACTGATTACATTTTTGGGATTGTAGTTTATGCAGGTCACGATTCCAAAGTAATGAAAAATTCAAAATCGTCTAGGACTAAGTTTTCCAGAAACGATAAATTTATATACAGATAAACCCTTTTCATGCTTATTGTACAATTCTCACTCTGCTTGTTTTGTTCCTTGTACGGAGCTTTTTTAGATCAGGGCAACTAAACTACTAAAAAGTATTTGCAAGTCTAATAATTGCATTCTAATTCTCACTTGAATATTCTCTTAATGACATTGCAAAATCTAGGCTATTGGTTTCAGATACTATAACATCTTATACCGATATCTTTAATTATTACGTTAGAGTCCGTTAGATTTATTTATGCATTCTTTATCTCTTGGGATGCTGATATTTATGACATCTAAAATGATCGACCTCCCAAAATATAGTCGAGTAACTTAAATGAAGAGCTAGGCTAAGTCACTCATATCTTTTCAGATAAGACTGGAACCTTGACATAGAATATCATGAATTTCAGATAATTTAGTATCGGAAAATATTCCTACGGATTTTCATCAGGTGATTATAATTCTGAGATGATCCGAAGAAATGTAGATTATTTAAATCAGGGTATCACAAATGTAAATTTTGATGATGAAAGCTTCTATGAGAATCTCTATGATAAGAATAGTGAAAATAATGAATAAATAAATGAAATGCTCTTAGCTATGGCTTTAACGCATGAAGCAGTAATAGATAAACATTCGGAAGATGGAAAAATCTGCTATAACTCTAGTTCTCCTGATGAGTTAGCATTGGTAAATGCAGCAGCATTTTTTGGATTTAGGTTTATTAAAAGAGATAATCTTGAAGGTACAATAAGTATATTGACCAGAGACTGCATGATCAGAACATTCAAAATACTGAACACATTTGAATTTGATTCTGATAGGAAAAGAATGTCTGTTATTGTCTAAGATGAAAACTAAGATATCAAAATGTATAGTAAGGGTGCAGATTCAGTCATGTTGGAATTGCTTAATAAAGATTTCAACAATATGAGGCTAAGTTCTACCACTCAAGATTTTCTGAATGAATATGCAAATCATGGTCTAAGGACTTTAGTTTATGCTTCAAAAGATATTGAGTAGATTGAGTATGAAATATTTAAGGAAAAATTTACTATAGCAGCCAATTCAATTAATGACAGGGAATAACAGCTTAGTAAAGTTGCTTAATACATAGAAAAAGATCTAAACCTATTAGGTTCAACAGCAATAGAAGATGTTTTGTAAGAGGATGTAGAGCAGACAATTATGGATTTGAGGAAAGCAAACATAAAAGTATGGCTATTAACAGGTGATAAAGTAGAGACTGCTGTTAGTATAGGCCATAGCTGTTCCTTATTAAGTACAAAAATTAATGATGTAATTATTTCTCAAGAAAATTCTTTCGAATTAATGTCGAAACTAAACAATATCAAAGAGGAATATCTCTAAATAGGTTTTAAAAAAGATTATTCTCTGATTGTCACTGGATCTGCTTTAATCTTAATTATGGAAGATGATAGTTTAAAAATGGAATTTCTAGATATTGCTAAATGCTCTAAAGTCGTTTTAGCTTGTAGAGTCTCGCCAAAACTCAAAGCAGATATTGTTAGACTAGTTAAATAAAATATTCCAAATGAGATTACCTTAGCAATTGGTGATGGGGCTAATGACGTTAGCATGATTACTGAAGCTCATATTGGTATTGGAATTAGTGGTAAAGAAGGATAATAAGCCTCTAGAGCATCTGATTATGCTATTGGATAATTTAAATTCCTTAAAAATTTACTCTTTGTTCATGGAAGAGAATCATATAGAAGAAATTCTTATTTAAGCTTCTACATGTACTACAAAAATATCATATACATCTCTTCATAGCTATGGTTTGCATTTCTCAACTAATTCTCAGCACAGACAATATTCGAATTATGGATTTAGCAAGTATACAATATTATTTTTACATCACTACCGGTGATATGGTTTGCAGTATTTGATTAATAGCACTCAAGAAAATATTTATTAAGCAAACCATCTACTTATAAGAAGGGTCCTCAAAAGAGGCATTTAAATTCTAAAGTATTTTGGGCTTATGTTTTGTATGCTTTCTCCCAATCTTTATTTGTGATGTATATGGCATGCTATTCTTTTGAAAGCTCAGTAAATCCAGAGGGTAATCCAGCTTCATTTTGGATATTGGGCTAGATTATATATTGTGCTATTGTTTTCATTGTTAATGTTGAGATTTTTTATCAAACCTACAGCCACTCAATTTTCAGTATTGTATTTGTCTACTTATCAATCCTAAGCTTTTTCATATTTTACAAAATATAGGATTCTGTAAAATTCATTCCTGACATGAAAGGGACATTTTTCTTTATTTGGAGATGTCCTGCATTTTACTTTATGTTTATCTTCATTTTTTGCTTCCAGATTATTTTACAAAACGCAATAAGATGGGCATATAATGTTTATAAGTAGGCTCTAAGGAAGTCTGATTTTACATAAATTGTTCTGAATATTGTTGAAACTGATAAAAATGATAATCCCAATCAAAATTCTCCTTAAGAGGATAATCTGTTATAAGACAGTAGGAGAAAAAGAGGGAAAACATTTTCAATTGACTTTGACTTTTATAAGAGAATTTAATCAGTTAAGGAAGTCTAATACACAAACAACTTTTTGATTTCACCAAGCAAGAGAAAGCATAAGCTAAATAAAAGAATGTCCCTTAATCTTGATAACACTGATTAATAATTAGATCCTGGGAATAGTATGGTAGATGAGGATTTTAATTGTCTATAAGATCTAGAAGCAAATGATTTCTCAAAATTGGAAGTTGCTGAAAAAATCATTTAAAACAAAAATTAAATATGAGACACATTTGCACACTTATCTGATATGGGGAAAGTTTAAGATAGTAAAATATATTTATATTACAAAAGTTAAATAAACATTTGTGATTAACAACAGATATACATGTCACGGGGTTTTGGGGTTTTGGGGTTTTGGGGTTTATTTATTCATGGGTCTCTTATTATTAACAACC